TCCATGTCCCCAAGTCCGTGCCATCTCCAGGCGTGCCAGGGTTTCGGGCCAATGGCTTGTTTGCAAGGCCGTCTGTCTGGGGATGAAGCCCAGCAGGCATATCCACGGAACACACGAAGTCCTTCTCAGCTCTGAAGCTGATCTTAAGAATCATTATTATTCTGACAAGCCTGGGCCCCGTGTCTGTTCACCAGCATTGCAGGCCGGGGCAGGCGGGTCTGGCCTCAGTGCTGTGGTTCCCTACCGTGCTGGGTTTTCACTTCCTCCGCTATAAAGGAGGCAACGACAATGGGATCGTCTCTGCAGAGACCATTACAAGGAAAGGCCCGTGCGTGCCTTGCATTATTGTTGGGGTGCGTGCCTTGCATTATTGTTGGGGCGCCATAAAAGTTGGCCCTGAACACACTTTCCAGAGTTCTAGCCTCCCTCCCCCTCGCCCCTCCAGCCTGCCTGGCGGCAGGTGTGGCTGCTCCATCTTGTAGTGTTTCTGCGCCCAAACGCTGGGTTGATGTGGCTATTAACGCTCCTCTCCAAGTACCTGGTTATTGAGTCACTGGACTGGAATGAACCCAGTAAGGAGGAAGGAATCGGGCTCGAGCTCTGGGCCACGCCCAGGACTGGCTGGCGCAGGTGTCTGGGCACTAACGGGCTTTCATCCGCACCATCACCTTGCGCCCCTGCAGAGGGTTGAGCATCCCCATCTCACATAAGAGGAGAGGGGGTCCCCAAGTAAGGAGGCCCGCCCAGTCCAGTCCAGGTCTCACAGCTCCCTGGGGCAGAATCCCCCCCCAGCAGGAACCCCTGAGACACAGACCTGGGTCACAGCGCCCTCACCTGGCGGGGTCCGGGCAGGACGTTTCTCTCCCAGACCCCAGTCCTGACCCATGTTGCCTTCCGCAGAGGGGAGCTCATATCTGCCTGTCTCCTTTTCTCTCTCCCCCGAAAGCATGCCCAGGGCTGGGGCAGTGAAAAGAAAAGGAGTGATTTATGAAATGAGCTGCTCTTCTTAATCAGAGACCCCTCCTGGGCCCGCTTCGTGCAGCTGGGACTGAGCCGCCATCTGGGCGGTGGGAGGGGCAAGCTTAATAAAGCTGTCTAGCCGGGCAGAGGCCTGGCAGAGGGGAACCCTGAGGCGCTGTGTGACCTCGACCCGGCTCTGCCCCTCTCTGGGCCTCAGGGCTCCCATCTGTCAAGGGACAGCAGGATGGGGCCCTCCCCTGAAAGCTCCAGCTGGCACTAGGGAGGGAAATACTGTCTCTTGGGACTCGGCCTGGCTGATTTGGGGCAGAAGCAGCACCAGGCTGGAGGCGGCCGGGGCACGACGCTCCTGGCTCTGGTTCCCTCCCTGGTGCCACACCCACAGGCTGGCATCTTGTCAGCAGCCCCCATGTGGGGTACAGCGGCCTTGGGCCTGAATCGTGGGCACGTCTCACTAACCTTGTGAACAAACTCAGTCAGTCTGAGCATTGGCGTTCTTCTCTGTGAGGTGGGGTCACACCGGTGCCCACGTGCTAGGTGAGGATTCGATAAGAGCAGCAGGGAGCGGGGCCAGTACCTGGTGTGCTCGAGACATGCGAGATCATTGGGTTCGGATCTTACTTTGGGGCCACTTAGGGAAAGATGCTTCTGCCCATCCCGACCAAGCCATAGGCCCTCGCCCAGGATACCAGGCGTGGGTATCTGCTTATTTCCAAAAAGTGATGTTGGCGAAAGCATCCCAGGGTTCCAGCCTGGGAAACCAGTGCCGTGCAGTCTCCGGGTGTTCACAACCACACCCCTTCATTCCACGTGCTCCCTGGTACCAGTGTTCACAACCGCCGCAGTCTCCACAACTGAGGATCACGGTTTTGAGGCCCTGGCACCTCACCGCGGTGCCGACTTTCCCGGGGCCCAAGGCATCTGGCCGAGCAGGGCCACTGGGCTGGGCGGCAGCAGCGCTGACGGGTGGCAGGGCAGCTGGTGTCCCAGCGGGCGTCCTTCCCGGCATCCACGTGTCAGGACACGATCTGGTGTCGGGCCATGGGCTGGGGGTAGGAGGAGGACAAAGAGGAAGGGCGGGTGGGACTCAGGGGTGGGGGGTATCAGCACCGGAGTCACATAAAATGGGGTGGGCTGGTGAAGAGGTGGGGAGACATCAGCCATGAGCACGGAGTTGGGCACCTCCTCTCACGGGGTCCTTTAGCACCATCTCGCCTGTCATCCCCCTGTGTCCAGAGGGCCGTGTCACATTCAGGGCAGATGCTGGCCTAAGACACAGGGCAGGGAGTGGGGGCCTGGGGGGACCAGTATGGGGATGAGGAGAGGTGTAGAGGTAGGAGACAACCTGGCTCCCTCTGCTCCCCTGAGCCCAAACTGGCTCTAGGGTGCAGGCCTGAGCCAGACCGCAGGGCGCCTTCCTAAGGACTCCTGGGAAAGGAGAGCCTCTCCTGGGGTCTGGGAGCGAGAGCCGCCTCATCTTGCCGGGTGAGCCATCTCCGAACAAACTTTAAGCCCAGAGCTCCTTGGGCCTCACCAGGGCCCAGGGGTCTTCTCCCCAGGGCAGCCGCCCTGCTGGCAGTGTCTTGCCCAGTAGGGCGCAAACTAGAGAGAGCCTTCCTCGGTGTGACACTGTGGTGCACAGAGCCAGATCCGGGGAGTCATCACTCTGCAGCCAGATGGGGCTGGGCTCTGTCTCTTTCTCCCTCCCCGCCCCCAACACAGCTTTTCTGAACTTTTTTTTTTTAATACAAAGGGCAGACTTGTTATATAAGAAAGGGGAGAAAAGGATGTTTGCACAGACTCAAGCGGGCAGAGAGGGACGGGTTGGTAAAAAGAAACACTACAGGAGTCTCCCTGGGGGTGCAGGGGTTAAGTCTCAGCACTTTGAAGCCATCACCAGCCACTGCAGCTTGAGTTCGATCCCCGGCCCCGGAGGTGACCCACACGGCACAGCAGACCTCTCCTGACCGCTCACTGCCCCTGTTAGCTGGGTACGTTCGTCCATCTGCCTGACCAAAGTATCCCCGACACTTTTAGCCCCACTCTGTCTCTGGTGAATCCTCTCGCCCCCACCTCTACACTTCTGCCTGCACCCCAGTTCTTGTATGCATAAGTAAATGAAATGAGTCCTTTTTTCAAAGCATCAGGCATGGTCGCGGTCGGGCAGGCCTGGGGGAGCTGCTTTTCCGAGTGCCACCCCAACTCAGCGCTCTTGGAGTCTCAGAAGCTGCTCCACCAGGCCACCTCCACTCTAGGCTGGGTTTCCTTGTGTCAGATGGGGCCAGAGTCCACCCTGCCGGCTATGTGGGGGTGGCGGGGGTGGGGGTGCGCAGTGTGACTCACGGGTAGACAAAGCATTGCTGTCACAGCTGGCTTTGGCTCTCACCCTGGGCTCCATCCCTTCCTAGTGTGTGGGGTTGAGCAAGCCACCTCTTTCTGGGCCTGGAGCCTTGTCATAACATGAGGGTGCTGGTGGCACGCGACTTCCAGGGCTTGTGCTGAGCATGTAAGGAGCTTGTGTGCGTGAATGTTAACTCAAGGCTGCGCAACAGATCCAGAGGTGACATGTGCCCAGCTCCAGGCCCTCTCAGACCGTTCAGAAGGGAGGCCCCTCCTCCCGCCTTTCCACCTCACCTCTGTACTGTCTTGAGACTTACTCACTGGCACCGTCCCCCTCCCTGGGGAGCCCTCCCCACTGGCCCAGTGGAGGTGTAACGGTGGGGACTTAGTCCTCCTCCCTGGGGGTCCCAGCCCCACTGTCATGTTTCCTTGTCTCTTCTGATCTCTTACCACCACTGCCCACTGGAAGAACGTGCTTGTTTGCATCGCTACCCCCAACCTGGTCAGCGTCACGGAGCAGAGGCTCAGTATATGTCTACCAAGCAGATGGATGGATGGATGGGTGGAGAGAAGGGTGGTGGGTGGGTGTGTGGATGGGTGGATGGAGGGATGGATGGATGGATGGATGAATGGGCAGATGGGCTGATGGGTGGATGGGCGGATGGGCGGATGGGTGGATGGATGGGTGGGTGGATGGATGGATGGATTGATGGGTGGGTCGGTGGATGGATGGAGGGATGGATAGATGGATGGATGGGAAGGTGGGTGGTGAATGGATGGATGGAGGGAGGGAGGGAAGGAAAGAGGGGGAGGGAGGGAGGGAGGGATGGAAGGGTGGATGGATGGGAAGGTGGGTGGGTGGGAAGGGGATGGATTGAAAGATGGGTGGATGGATGGATGAATGGGTGAGTGGATGGATGGGTGGACAGGAAGATGGGTGGATGAACAAGGAATCTTTTCCCTACCACCTTTCCACTGCCATGAATGGGAAGAAATATGAACTGGCCCCTGAGACCCAGAAGTTTCTCCCACCTCCCTTGAGTGTCCCCACCACAGCCTAAGCTACCCTGTCCTTGTGGTCCCTGGTACTGTCATCTGGCTCATTGTTGAGCCAGGCAGTGTGACACACCAGCGGGCTCCATCTGACTGCTGAAACCAAACCCCCATCTCCACGAGTCCAGAGCTAACTCTCTAATGGAGCCTTCTGGCAAATCATTATGCAAAGCCAAAAAGCCCTTCCCAGCATCACATTTCTCTCTCCTGGGAGCCAGGGCTTCTGGGGAGAGGGGTATGATGAACAGAGCCCTGCTGGCACTTTCTCTGCTGAGACATCCCTGCAAGGTGCCCAGGCGGCACCAGCCCACTGCCCCCTCCCAGCCCACCAGTCCCACACAGCACGGCAGCAGAGGGGATGTCCAGTCTAGAAGCCACATCTCTCGGGCAGGTTGCTTCTCCACATAGCCCCAGCCCCCGGAGGGCACTGGGGCTGCCGTGTGGGCAGAAGGCGGGCACTCCGCTGGCCTCCCCAGCGGGGCGTCCTGGGTGCTGAGAGCTTTCCACCGCACTAACAGGCCCAGATGAGGAGCCAAGCACAGCCCGCCACGGGGGTAGGTTTTCATAAACCGCATCCTCCGTGGGCCTGCTTACAGACGGCCTGCAGTCACGGTGTGTTTTCTCTACAGGACGAGCTGGGCCAATAAGAGAAAGACACAGGAACCCCTCTGCCCTGGAGATTCGGTCCTGCTGACGCCTGGAGACAGCCCAGTGACAGGTCAGCAGCTGCCTTTGCGTCCTCGTGCAGCCCGCCCCCCACTCTGCCCGTCACCCCTCCATTCTGTCTCGGTCTGGCCCTTCCGCATCACTTGTTACGCGCATTCTGCCTTCCCCTTCCTCCTGCACGCTTTTCTCTGCCTTTCCTTCTTTCCGGTTTGTTTTCAGCTGTTTCTGATTTTCTGACTGTGCTGCTTCCGGTCTTCAGTCCCTCCATTCGCGCCATCCATTCATTTCCCTTCTTTCACTGGTTCACGGGGTTGAGGACCCACTGTGCGCCACGCGTGGCCCCGGCCACTCGCCAGAGATCACACAGTTCCCGGTGGCTGGGAACAAAGTTCACTGGCTCGCGGAGCCTGAGTTCTGAAACGGAAGGAGCGTGCGCCGCTCAGCAAGTGAATAAATCAGCGTCTGCAGTCTACTGGCCGGCACCGGCTGTGGAAACGGGGCTCCAGGCTCAGATCCATCGCTAATTGGCCTCGTAACTTGGCAAGCTCCCTTCCCCGCCCTCGGACCTGTTTTCTCATTTCCCAAGAGAGGATGTTGGGCTGGGTCAGCTCGCCCCCACCTTTCCTGACCAAGAACTCCTTTTATCAATGTGCTGGTGACATAAATTATACAAAGCCTGGCTTCCAGACCAGGCTTGCACGAACAGTAGTGTCAGGTGAGTTTCCCTGAAATCCCTTTAAAGCTCTTCAGTGCCTGCTTTGTTTTACATGAAATAGCTGGTTGCATCTGAGGGCTGTGTTGTTTGGGAAATACACCTGTAAGCCTGGGCCCCCCCAGTTGGCCAGGTGAGGGGTGCTTGAGATCATGAGATCCACGGCTCCCACCCAGACTCGCCCTGAACAGCCGCCCGCATGGAAGGGCAGCTGAAACCCTGTTAACTAAATGGCACATGTGTGATCTTCCAGAGGCTGGGGGCAGCTGCGTTCATGCAAAGTCAAGTTGGCCTGTGATGCTGATCCCCGCATGTCACCCCTCTGGGCCTCAAAGAGGTGAAGAATGTTATCTACCAACTAGCACTGTCTTTACCAAGTCATTTATTAAGTAGGTTCAAGTTTCTCCTTCGATTATGTATTGCAAAGAGCTGAACCAAAAAAAAAAAAATACACACACACACACACCCTGTGGTGGCTTAATTGTTCTAAAACCCAAGAGCCAACTTGTGGTGAGGAGATGATTTCTCAGATGTTATTTGAAATCCTGAAAATAGCTTTAGGATATTGCTAATCTCAGGGAACCCCACTTGAGGCCCACTAAACACTCATTTTCCGAGCTCGGCAGCCCTCCACACAGGCCTTCCCTCCTGACATGGAAGCCTGCAGCTGAGTGCTGGTGTCTGGGCATCAGGGGGCCACTCATCCAGGCCCCAGGGAGGACCCCAGGCCCCAGTCTCCTACATAAGCGCCTTCTGGGCATCCTTCCTGAGGGACAAATGAGCCCTTGAAGGTCTTAAGTTTCTGTCAGCCCATGTTCCAGAGGGGACCTATGCCCTAAGTCCCCACGTCCCTTAGAGGGAACTTGCGGAACCAGATGGTGATGGTGATGTGCCTAAATTCTGGAAGGGGGTGGATAGGTGGAGCCAACCGAGAGACCCCGGCAGGGGTTGGAGAGTCCACGTGTCTGTCACTCTCGTCTGGCCAATGGCTGAGGAGGTGCGTTCACACACTCCACAGTCCCTTCTGCCGGGAGGCAGCAGGGTTGGCCTTTGGCTGCCAGCCTGGCAGTGGATGATGATGGTTGCCGTTTCCCTTGAACAATGACAAAGTGTCATAGGCAGTGTGTGAAGAATTTTGTTCTGAATTTCGAAGGTGGATGGATAAATGGGGCAAGAGAATTAACCACGCACTGAAAATGGTGATGAAGGGTTGTGACTCCACACTGCCAGCCCCCTGGGTTCCTCTCCCAACTCTTCCATGCTGTGCCCTTGGACAAGTGATCTCACCTCCCTGAGAGTCACTTCCCTCATCAGCGCTGCACTGGTTTCAACACCCAGCGCCTGGCCTACCATCAATGCGCAATAAAATGTTGGCTGAACGGAACTGGATTCAGTGATTCGTTGCCGGGCATCCTTTAGCCAGGAACAGGGTGGCAGGCTGCTGACCGCCTAGTGACGGAGGTGGTCAGGGCATGGGCTGCCCCTCCCAGGGGCAGAGCTTGGCCCCCGGTAGGCCCACACCTGTTTTCCCCCACAATGTCTTCCCGCTGGCCCTGTGGGGCCTGGGGTTCTGATCCTGCTCCATGACCTCGGCCAGCTCTTAGAGGCTCCGAGCAGTGGATCCCCATCTAGCCAATGAAAGTCTCCCCTCTGCACCCGAGCAGTGTCACGAAGCAGCAGGTGGATGCTTGCAACTGGACATCAGACTAAGCACGCTTCCTTCAAATCTCCTCCCAACATCTCTGCTGCAAGGAAGCTTCTGTTTTTCATCTCCATTTGCAAATTGAAAAAGTCAGAAAGGTAGAGTAACTTATCCAAAGCCACACAGCAAATGAGACTTGAACCCAACTGGCCGGTACCCCAGTTCTTGCTCTTAACCCACAGGGCAAAACACCGTCCTGGGGAAGGGAATTCCCCCCTCCCTCTGCTCCATGTGAGGCGGGGGCTAACCTTTGGGGGCCCCATGGCAGGGTCAGGGGTTCTTTGGGCGGGGTCTCCGGCCGGAAGGCTGAGGAACCTTGTGTTTTGCAGGCGGCACACCATGGAGGGTGACTGTCTCAGCTGCATGAAGTACCTGATGTTTGTTTTCAATTTCTTCATATTTGTAAGTATACCTGGGCACTCCTGGGCCTCTGTAGGGTGGGCAGAAGAGGCAGGAACAGGGACCAGGGCTAGATGTAGGTCTTCCTGCCCAGCAAGGATGTCACACAGGCGAGACCCCCGGAAAGCCCAGCCCACGGCCAGGAGCCCAGGTCAGGAGAGGCGTTTGGCAACTCTGGTTACCTCAGCTCCTCTGACCAACATCCTGGCTGGTCTCTGGGATCGGACCCCTGGTGTGGAGGTGGGTAGGGGTGAAGCAGGGTGGCAAGAGGGCAGCAGAGGGAGCCCTGCCCTACCCCTGACCCCCAGAGCATCGGAGCTGGAGGGACTGGCTGGAGTAGCCTCCTGATGTAATCAGAAACCCCTCTGGGTCTGGGCCGACTGCATCTCTGTGAGGGGACACACCCTCCTGGGATCTCAGCATCTTCATGCCTACTTAGCCGTCTCAACAGGTGTCTTGAAAAGTGAGATTAGCTTAGGAAGCACCCCACACCCCACACTGGCCTTCCTAGCGCCGACACTCTGACCTAGTGCAGCCCTGACCTGGCTGAGCAAATATCCCCTGGTGTCCTTCAGGGGTCCCTGTCTGTCTCCATCTGTTTTGACATGATGCAGCAGCCCTCAGAGCCTTCCCCACCCTGCAGTCCCGAGGGCAGGGAGCGCTCCAGGCCCACATTTTGGGCCTGACTTCTAAGGAGGGTGGCCCTGCTCTAGCCCGGCTCTCCCCATCTGAAGGAGGGCTGGGTCCCCTGCACTCTTTGTGGGTGCCCTAGCCAAACTCAGCACACGGTTTCTGAAGCCTCCAGCCTCCAGCCCAAGGAGGACGCAGGCTGTACCAGGTGTTGTGGGAAAGGGGTGAGGAGAAGGCATGATGCAGAGACACCAAGAGGCAAACCCCATGTTGGGCTGTCCCGTGAGTCCTAGCTCCCTCCTTCCGCTTCCTCGCTGCTGGCCCCTCAGGCCCCTCTGCCTAGACCCAGTGCCAACCACACCTGAAAATATTGTCCTTGCCCCTAAGCCATACAACTCTTCCCCAGTTTCCAAGCCAAAGTGCACCTGAGCCCTGGTCTGTCATTTTCAAGCCTTCTTTCCACGCAGGGGTCGCAAACACTTCACAGCCTTCAAATCCAGTGACACCAAACGGGTTCTCCTGCATGAGCCACCTCAGGGAGGAATTGGTTTCCTCTTTTAACCATGAGGAAACTAAGGCTCAGAGAGATTGAGCCCCCTCCCAAGGTCACACAGCTAACCAGCGGCACAGATCTTCCTTAGGCCCAAGCTGCCTCTCTCCAGAGATCAGTCGGGGCTGGAGAGGTGGCCCGTGGAGATGAAGACATAAACAAGGCTTTCAAGGGTTGGATTTGAGAGTGGGGCACCTCAGCCTTTCCCGCTGAGGACAAAGAGGAAGACTTTTGTCTGTGTGCCCAGGCCCTCGCGTGGTACAGGCCCAGAGTAGCTTCAGTGTGCTCCTGGGGCATTGTCGAGTGTCCTTGGGGCTAGAGCCAGGGAAACTTGGGATTCTGCTCTGCCTTTGCCATGAACTTGCTGTGTGGACTTCGTTAAGTCATTGACCCGCCTTCCTCCACTGGGGCTCAGTGTGGAGTCAGAGCTTGGACTAGGTGACCCCATTATCCTGTTGCGCTGACACTTAAGGAGAATAGAGAAGTAGCAGGAGAATAGGAGAATAGATAAACTCTCCATGATGTGGCTCTCGGGAGACTGTGATGGGTGAGGGCAAGAGATGGGGCGTGGGGTACCCACTGGAGGTCCAGTCAGGAAAATTCAAAGCAGTGGAAGTGCAATGGGATGCAGGTTCATGCGTGGACAGGGCCTGCCGCTCACGAAGCCGCGAGGCTCCGGCCCCGGAGTCTCGCTCAGGGAATGTGTGTGCAGCGTGTTTAATCTCCCTGTCTGTTCTTTCCCTCCCTCCACGGCCCGGAGCAGCTGGGCGGGGCCTGCCTGCTGGGCATTGGCATCTGGGTCATGGTGGACCCCACAGGCTTCCGGGAGATCGTGGTGGCCAACCCCCTGCTCATCACGGGAGCCTACATCCTCCTGGCCATGGGGGGCCTGCTGTTTCTGCTGGGCTTCCTGGGATGCTGTGGGGCCATGCGTGAGAACAAATGTCTGCTGCTGTTTGTAAGTACCCACCCCTCACCCACACCCATGGGGACCCCGGGCAGGGTTAGGGGTGCCTGTGTCTGCCCTGCAGAGCACCCACAAGGAAGGTATGACCCAAGCAGGCTGCGGCCCATGGAATGAAGGCCACCGAGCTCTTCCTGAGCACCTGTGCCCCCAACCTGCTCTCTGCACTGCCTACCACGTGGGCAAACTGCCAAGGCGGAGAGAGGCCGTGGCCTTTGGGCGGGGCGGCCAGGCTTCTCCAAAGCTCCGGCAGCCGAGCACAGACTGGTACTCTTAACTTGCTTACTGTTAAGAACTCAGCAAACAGCTCTTTGGTGCGATAGCGAAGATAAGTATTGCATAAATAGCTTTCGCATTTCAGTTTAAAATAGACATGATATAATCTCAAAAGATTCTTTATTCACCAAATAAATAATCCTTGAACATCCATTTTGGGCCCGTGCTAGAGATGGAGGTGCCAGGCCAAGAGTGGGCTTCCCTTCCTCGAGGGCCGGTGTGGGGGAGGCCTGGAGCCCAGGCCTGGGCCCGGGTGTGCCCTGCACTGGCCCCTTACCAGCCACGGACAGCCGTCTGTTTCTTCCTCTCGCGGAGCTTTAGCGTCTTGCTTTAAGACGAGGTCTGAGCCAGTGCAGCTGTGAGTTAGAGCCACACAGTCTGAGCCGGAATTGTTCTGTTTCTCTGCCCATGAGCTCAGCCCTTGGGCCTACTTCCCCGGTCTGTGTGGGTAGGTCTCCTCATTCCCTTATGAGTTCAGTAGCCCCTGGGACTAGGGGAACTGTGGGGTTCTCCACCATGCAAGCTAAAAGCAGCCCTGCTTGGAGAAGTGCGTGGGGTGGGCGGAAGCCGCCCCACCACGTGGGTGGAGTGAGTGAGCAGCCTGGAGTTCATAAGCATTAGGGAGACGGGGCTGGTCAGCGGAAAGGCTAACTAGCTAACTTCCAAGGGGCCCGTTTGCTCCTGTGATGACCCCGCACCCCAGGTGAGGGAGAACAAACGATATGGTCCCCATTCGTGTCACAGTGACACAGATGCCCCATCTCCCAGAGAGAGAGGGAATCAGTTGTGAACTGTGTATCGGGAGCCTGGGACCCCTTTCACCATCAGCAAACTTTTCACTTGGAAACAAAGAAACCCGCTGGCGCCCCCTGGTGGAGAGCGCTCTCCCGCGTGCGCACCATGGCTCGGGGTGGGCTGGGCCTCAGAGGCGACCTCTGTAAGAGCGGGGATGTGGGCTGCGACACACCAGACCTCCCGTCCCCTACCTGTGATGACCCCGGGCCCATCCACTGTTAATGGATTCATCTCTGAAGCCAGGACAGGAAGTCAGGCCGGGGCCTCCCAAGCTCTCTCCCCTAAGTGGCTCCTTGGAGTCTGCCAGCTGCGGGGACATTGCCACCCCAGTCTTCTCGAAGGACAGGACAGAGGCCCAGGGACAAGATCGCTCTGCCCTGGGACAGGACAGAGGCCCAGGGACAAGATCGCTCTGCCCTGGGACCCCCAGAGTTAGGTCTTGGCTGCTGGGCCTGGGCCACCCTAAGAGCAGCAGATTCTCACCCTTGCTTCTGTGTCTCCCTCCCTCAGCCCCATCTGCCCTGTGGCTCCCTTTCCAGGCTCACCCCTTCGCCTCCCGCCTCCCGTCTCCCTGCCTGTTTCTTCAGTCAGTTCCTCTGTCTGCTGCTTTTCTTCCCCGTCCCGAGTCTCCCTGCCCCTCTGCTCCCCTATCCTTTCTCCTCCCTGCTTTTTGTCTCTCTTTCTCCCCTCCCACCCTTCCCAGCCTCTCTCCTCCAACACCCAGTACATACCTGTCCCCCCCCCCGCCACTGTGTGGGCCAAAGGCGGGGGACACGTGGGCCCAGGCCCCCTGCCCCGCAGACCCAGCAATCCAATCCAGAAGCTCCCAGCATGGCGTCAGACCGTGTCTGTGCCTGAGCAATGGGGGGGGGGGGGTGCATGTGTATTTCTGGAAATGCCACCACTTCTGGAAGGTTGCAGAAAGACTGATGACCTAAAAGTTAGCAGTGTCTTCTGCTTCCCAGCCTGGACCTGGGCAGGAGGTGCTTCCAGCTGAAGTCCCCCTGTATCCTCTGGGGCCCCAGTTCCCTCCATTAGCCTGGGGCTCCTCTACCTGCTGGGAGGGCGACAGACTTCTGGAGACACTAAGAGCATGACACCAAGTAGCTCAGGAACCTGCGTCTAAGGGGGGAAGGAGCGTGGAGACCTGGAGTGGGCTCACTGACCACCCCCAGCTCTGCTCAGAGGCTGAAACCCTCGGGCTCCCGGTGGCCCGGAACCGTGGACCTGAGTCTAAAGACCTGAGTCTAAAGACGACGTCACCCAAGGATCCACTTTTCTGAAGCCCCCAGATGTTCGGATCAATTTACCACTTTGTCCTCTACAACAGGACAATTTCAGCCTGCAGTTGACATTTTGTGACCCCCCTTTCCCCAGTTGCTTACCTTTGAGTAATGTTCAAGGAATGCCTTTAGCTGGTTTATTTAGAGTCCTTATTTTTTAAAATGTCTATATTTTAAGAAATGTTTTGTCACTAAGCAAGCTCAATTGGAAAAGAGAACAGCAAGAAGACGTGTGTATATTTAAGAGTGATAAATGAGCTGACTTTCCAAGAAGCATGCAAATGTGTATCTGTCTATTAGAAATGAGAGCGGCCGAGCAAGCAGCCCCGGAATGAAGGAGCAGAAAGGAGCCGGGCGGAGGGGTTGGCAAGAGCAGACCCTCGAGTCAGAAAATCGTGGGTTCGAATCCCTGCTCTGTCACTTCCTGTGTGACCCAGGGTGGGTTACTTAACCTCGCTGAGCTTCAGAGTATGTAAAGATATGATTAAAAATAATAATAATAATAACAATAAAGCCTCCTCTCCTCACCTCACTCTGCTCCTGGGATGCGCTTGAGAAATGGGAAAGTGACAGACTGGTGCCGACCCTACAACCACCTCAAAGGCCAGGACCCACAGGCTCTTGTGGGTTCCAGAATAACATGGTGCTAAGGGGCTGTGTCCTGGAATCCGACTCTTCGTGCTTATTTCAAGGGGACACCTACCTGCTGGACCAGCTCATTCAGACTTCTTCCCCTCAGCATCCCAGTCTCTCCATCAGCAAAACGGGGTGTTAATGACAGCAACAGCGGCTTCTCCAGGCTGTGGTGGGGTGCCGTGGACGGCTCAGGTACGACCCACACTCCCTAGGCCCAGCCAGCGGGCACTGGGCTGGCCTTCCGGAACCGGCCCGGATGCTGGGCCGTGCTGCTGGAATCCCATCTGAGCGGCGCTGACCCCATGCCAGCCCTGTGCGGGCGCTCGGCCTGGCCAGCTGTCCGGGGCAGTGTTACGTCACCTGGACGCTCCCAGAGGCGCTCGTGGCTACACGCGGCCCGAGCCATCTCAGATATAGTTTATAGCTTCTCGGCTCGAGCCCGCTCCATCACATCACCCAGGCTGGAAACCATATCCAGGGCCACTCTGCCAGCGGAGGATGCCAGCAACTTCACGAAGAGGACAGAGAGCAGGGGAGGGTCCCCAGGAGGCCATGCGGGATAGAGCCAGAGGACCATCGCCAACCCAATGGAAGTGCCCAGAGCCAGGGGTCTCCATCACTGTCGTGGGGACAAGACCCGCAGAAGTTCGGAGAATGCGTCACTCAGGCTAACAGTCGACCAGCTGGCGGAGTGGCAGAGTGGACTGTGGGTGTTTGGTGGGGGGGGGGGTCTGTCGCACTCCTCCCTGACCCCCACCTCAGCCCAAGTTCACCCGCACAGCTGACCCCTGAAAGGCCCAGGGCTGAGCCTCATTCGGGAGCAGAGAAAGGAGGGAGCAGGCTGCTCTGAGCTGGACAAGGAGGGCAGGGTTCGCACAGGAACTTTTGAGGTGCACGCCTCTGGAGTTGTCATCGTCTTTCTCCAGCTTTTCCCCTCAGCTGTGGAAAGGGGGGGCTGAACAGGAAAATCTCTAGGCTCTGGTGCTCAACGAGCCTCTGTGAACACAGAAGGCCAGCTAAGAGGGGGCTTCCACCTGGTGAGCCCCCCAGGACACCTCAAGAGAGGAGACGAGGACCCCAGGGCGAGCCGCATGGTCTGGCAGAGCTTGAGGCTGGAAATGAAAATCAGGGATGAGGAGCACGTGGGTCCACGCCTTTATGGCGAGTCTCTTTAGGGGTGGGGTGGTTCCGGGGGCTCGCACATGTAGAAAACAAAACAAGACACTAAGACAGGTGTCCGAGGTTTCAGAGCCTCCTGGATGCACCATCGTGAAGTCCATCCTGTGGCTGTCCCTAAAGGCCATCTACAGCCCAGGCAGTTGGGAGAAAGCCCGGGACCCCTCAGGGCAGCCGGATTCCAGCTCAGAAGTCAGGGAGACTGTCTTTGGCGAAGACCCCCACACCCAGGGAGGCGGAAGAGGGGGGCCCAGGATAAGGCGCCGCCCGAGTGAACCCGTCTGTGTAGACTTCGGGCTCCAGAGCCGTCACCGCTTCCTGACTGTGAAGCGGCTGCCCACTCGCTGCCAAGGCCCCAGCTGCCAGGACAAGGTCTTGGACTCTCCGACCACAGAGGTCAGCAGTCTGGACAGAGCAGTCAGCAGTCTGGATTTCGGCCGGTTGGCTGAGCAAGAGGTGTCAACAGCCTTACAGCCCCCCACGCCGCACCCAGATTTCGCTTCTGGGGAAGGCGAAACTCAGTTACACCAAGTCAGCCACGTGGTTTCAAAGCCTGACTCTCATCCTCTGTCGCTTCGGATCTTAGGGGCCCTGGCTCCAAGTCCCAACATGAATTTTTGATAAAGTCAATTAGGTCTCTGAAAACAAACAAACAGAAAGCATCGGAGTGGAGGGGGAACCACGATTAGGGCCTCCCTGGAGTGAGGCAGTGACAGAGCCATCATCAGGCTGGAAGAGACTTGATCCAGGACCCAGGAGAGGGGCGGGGGCGGGGGGCGTGTCTGGGATGGGGGGTGCCCCAGCGCTGTCCCAGGCACAGGGCGGAAGCCTGCACTCAACGGGCTTCAGAGTCTCTAATGCCAGAGCCTCCAGGACAAGTTTTGATGAAGTAGCAGACACTTACTCCCTTATTTTCTATTCTCCATGGTGACATGGGAAGTGGCTGTCTCCCCCATTTTACTCATGGGGAGCCCCAACCTTGAAGAGGTTGAGTGACTGTCCCCATCTGACACGCAGGAACAGCTGGGCAGAGGTGTCTGGACACTGACCCCAGGGCAGCCTGGGGGTGCTGACAACCGTGACCCTGGGGATGTGCTAGGAAGGTGGGGCTCATCTTCGTGACCCCCAGGATTTAGTCCTCTGAAGGCCTCCAGGTGAATTTCCCGCAGCAGCAGAGGGCGGAGTAGTGAGGCAAACAGTCTCCTGTCAGTGGGCCCTGGCTGCTGGTGACCACTATCCAAGGTCCTCAGCACAGCCGGGCACTCGTGGGCTCACCCCTCACCTGGTGGCCATGTGCGATGCCCGTGCCAGCAGGCGCTGGGAGGGGGCGGGCAGGTGCCCCTGTGCAGGGTGATGCAGCACTGTCACCCACCTGGGGGCTGTGTGATGTGGGGGGCCCAGAGGAGGAGGGACCCTGCTGGGGAAGTCAGAAAAGCCTTCTCACCAGGAAAGAGGGGGCAAGGAAGGAGGAGCCCTCCTGGCAGAGGGGGGAGGGACATCATGGCTACTTGGGGGAGCGCTAAGAAGTGCAGTGAGTGGAACAGAGGGGTGTCCGTTCGATTTAAAACCCCTGGTCCCCGGTCTTCAGATTTTGATACATCCGCTTCCTGCCAGTCGTGCTCCTTTACTCGGGCTGAGGGCGATGTCACCTCCCCACTTCCTGTGGCTGGACTGTGGCTCTGGGGCTGTGGGGTGAGGAAAGCCAGCTGGGGACCCCCGAGGACCTCAGGATCCCCAAATCTTGAATTTCCACCGGAAGGGGTGCCAACAAATTTCAACACGGATATTGTGAGACGGCCAAGTCGGGTTGCTCAGGCTGCAGACTGCACAAGGGAGTTGGCCGTCAGGGCCGCGTGCTGGGGGGAGCAGCTGTCTGCCCCCACACATGCGCACGGCAGCCCGGCCACGCCAGGGATGGGCGCTTGGTATGTGCGTGATGAAACAGCCTGGGACGAAGGCCCGGCGTCTTAGAGAAAGGGTGCATGGCCCGGCGTCTTAGAGAAAGGGTGCATGGCACCGACTGCGTGCCAGAGGAGGGTGCAGCGGCAGGTCCTCCACCACCCCCAGGCTCACGAGCCTGCCCCCTTCTCTCGGCAGTTCTTCCTGTTCATCCTGATCATCTTCTTGGCGGAGCTCTCGGCGGCCATCCTGGCCTTCATCTTCAGGGAAAATGTACGTACCAGGCCCGCTGCAGCCCACCCTGCTGTCCAGGAGGGCCGGGTGGCCACTCATGGCCAAGCCTCCCTCCTGCAAGCACACTCAGAGTCAGCACTTCGGCCCAAGCGGTGGCCCACCCACGGGCCTCGGTTTGTGAGGGGTGTGTGTGGAGACTTCCCTCTCTCCTGGGTGAGCCAAGGATGGGTGCAGGCTGTGGGTGGCGTAAGAGACCCCCCAGAGTTGGCAGCCTAGGAGAACCCCATCCTTCCCCCCAGCCAGCTAGATGGAGAGGTCGGGAGGGGAAGGGTGAGCCAGCGGTCTCAGCCCGCCCCTCCTCTGCCCCCAGCTCACGCGGGAATTCTTCACCAAGGAGCTCACCAAGCACTACCAAGGCAACAATGACACGGACGTCTTCTCTGCCACCTGGAACTCGGTCATGATCACAGTGAGTGACCCCACCTCCCCCAGGCTGTGGCGTTCAGGGTTAGGGGGCCAAGGGGGCACAGGTCTGGCTCCAGAGCTGCTCTGCTCAAGCAGACAGCAGCGGTCAGTCAGGGCTTGCCCGCCCAGCCCAGACCCAGCCTCGGAACGGGCGTCACTGGGCACTGCAGGCAGTGCCCGGTACAAACTCGAGCTGACGCCGGTGGCCAGCCCCGCCAGGGGCCTGCAGGTGACGCGATCATCGCCATGAGGGTCACCCAGCCTCCTAATCGGGTGCTTGCTAAGGACCGGGTGAGGCAGGAGGTCGGGCCACTGCCCCAGCGAGCGTGCCGAAGGCCAGAGGAGCTGAGCCTTTCTCAGGTCATGCAGAAGCCCGCTCTGAGGGTTCAGATCCCCTCCACAGTGGCGCGGCCTCACTGTGGCCTCTGGAGGGTCCGGGGCATCCCTGTCCCCAGGTCCAACCCGACTTCTCTTTGCTCTCTTCCCAGTTTGGTTGCTGTGGGGTCAACGGGCCTGAAGACTTCCGCTTTGCATCCATTTTCCGACTCCTAACGTTGGACAGTGAGGAGGTGCCGGAGGCCTGCTGTCGGAGAGAACCCCAGACTCGGGATGGGGTGGTGCTGAGCAGGGAGGAATGCCTGCTGGGAAAGGACCTGTTCCTGAATAAGCAGGTATCTGGCCCCGCGCCCGCAGCAGGGGAAACCGGCCACTCGGATTTGGGTGCCAAAGCCGGGTGGTGCCGCAGACCAGGGGAGCTGAAGGAACCCCATGTGAGTGTGGTCCCACATGGAGATCCTGAAAAGGGATGGTGGAGGCTCCAACCCCCCAGATCCAGCCACTGCGCACGTGTGTGTGTATGTGTGTGTGTGTGTGTGTGTGTGCTGGGAGTGGAGAGTGGGGGGCCCTTGGGATGGGGGTGGCTGACCTTCCAGTGACGGCCCAGGCTGCAGCCCCATGTGCATGCGGTGGGGAGGGAAAGGGTGAGGAGCTAGCCAGTAGAATACTCCCCTACTCGGTCCCCCCATCTCCCCAAGCTGTTAATGGCTCAGGAGCCAGAACCAGAGTTACACAGTGGGGGTCCTCCTCAGGCCTGCATGCTATTTTGGGGGGAAGCACACACTGCCATGTGGGAACACCATCTGACCCGAAGGGAACACCGTTCCCCTCACCTGATTGTCCAAAAACAGGGAAGCTTCTAGACGTCTCTTGTCTGGCCACGGGAGAACTTCATCTCAGTCATGGAAGGAGCCCCCCCCCCAGCCTCCGCTTCACGCATGTGACGCCTGGGGAAAGCAGGGCCCTGCTGCCCGCTCTGGGGTAGGCCGCACCTGCACTCCCGCCCCTCCACAGGCCAGCCCCAACCCCACCTCAGTGCGTGTGAGCAGGCCAGCCGGGGAGGGGAGCGGAGCCCAGGCCCGAGCCCTCACTTGATCAGGTTTAATGAGGCTTTCCCAGGAGAGTTCAGATGCGGGGGCGTCGTGGGGGGAAGGAGGCCAGGACCCTTTCCTGGTCTGGGTGGACGCAGTAGAAGATAAACAGGCAGCTGGCAAGCAAAGTCATAATTTCACAGCGTAATGATTACCACGGACAGAACAAGACCAGACGACGGTCCTAGATCGGAAGAGCGTCGTGGGGGGAAGGAGGCCAGGACCCTTTCCTGGTCTGGGTGGACGCAGTAGAAGATAAACAGGCAGCTGGCAAGCAAAGTCATAATTTCACAGCGTAATGATTACCACGGACAGAACAAGACCAGACGACGGGCTGGAAGGGAGCTGGGTGCAGGCGGGAGGCCCAGGACTCCTTAGAGTTGGGGGCACAGCAACAGTTGAGCTAGGGCCTGACCTGGCCCACCACTCAGCAGCCCACCCCTGCACTGCTGGTCCCGCCCAAGGACTCACGAGGGCCCGCGTGACCTCTGCCCCTCCCGGCCCTGCCTTCCTGCACTGGGGGAAGGAGGAGCCCTGATGGAGCTTCTGGGGCACCCTCCTCTGTGCCCCAGCCAGGGGCAGGGGAGGCGGGCAGGCGCAGGCCTTCCCTAGGGATGCCATGCCAGCTGGGACTCGGTCGCATGGTCAGGGCCTGCATGCACCGTCCACTATGCTGGAGTCAGCGCTCTCCTGGACTGGCGTCCCCCAGGGTGCCTGCCAACCCAGTGTGCCAGGGACGTGCCCGCCTCCCCTCCTTCCTCCAGGGCAGGACACGACTTTGTCTCTCTGGTGGTTTCTGCGGGCGCTAGCAGGCAGGCCGCTGTGTCTGTGGCCCGTACCGCCCACGTCTCCCCCAAACGGTCCCAGTGGCGTGTTATAGGGCAGACCTGCTGCTGCCTGAGTTTGGGGGCCCACGCTTCCCAGGTTGCCCCTCCAGGCTGGGGTGTCATCTCTGGTCCTTCCCCGCCTAGGGCTGTTACACAGTGATCCTCAACGCCTTCGAAACCTACGTCTACCTGGCTGGAGCCCTCGCTATCGGCGTGCTGGCCATTGAGGTGAGTGAACTCCCACTCCACCGTCCCCAGCAGCCAGGACATACAGGAAGACACCCCTGCTGTGTACCCCTTACCTGAACTAAATGGGCCCCCCTGGCAGGGACCGCCAGGTGCCGAGCCCGGCAGTGTCTGCCTAATGCCTGAGAGTTGTGCTTGGGCTCTGGACACACCGGAGCAAGTCTCCAGGCATTGGGGTCATGGGCAGGCCCTGAGAACGGCTCCCCATCTCCCTTCCAACCCTCATCGTACCCCCTCTCTAACTAAGCCTCTCCAACCCAAAGGGCCAGATTGAAGATCGACACAGTTGACTGAGGGAGGGGAAGCAGCCTGTGTTTGTAGATAAGGGCTGTTCCGTGGAGTGACCAGGGCTACAGGGCCTGGCTGACCCCGTCCCAGGGCCCTGGGTGGGGCGGCAGGGACCCCCC